ATAAACTTTTTTAACCACCTCATTTTTTGTGCTTGCACCAGGAACGTGGCTCAAATCAAGCATTACACTGCAGGCTTCACTTTTTTAAATACTAGACATATTTAGCCACTCCATTTTCGTTGCATGAAAAATCAAAACATCCGCACAAGTTTCCTTGTATCTTATTCCACCAATATCCCTTTAGGCAACATGGTTGGACATATGACTGAAAGATACAACTTGTAATTTGACAACCATTTGCTAATTTTACAATCTATAGGAATTTCATCATCATTTGCATGGTCACCATAATCAGCATGATAGCATAAGTCAGTGACAATGTGTCAAAATAGAAGACTTTGATCAAAATGTACCTCAATTGTACTCCAACAAAATTCATCAACACAACATTTTGGCCAACGCATTATGAACTCTCTCCGCTAACAGATCTTTGCATAGCTTGGTATCAAAACTGTTTTCTTCAATTTTCTTGCTTGTGCTCGCCTGAAAATAATAGAAAAAGTAATTTGAGTTACTTAACTAACATATAATGGAAGGGGCATACCACTTTTCCTTCTTGTCCTTGATCAATGTTGCCCCTGCACTTGAGTCCATAGATACAGAAACTGAAGCCCTATATTCAAGCATCACATTCTTCCTATCGATTTTATTTTTCAAGGTAAAATATTACAATTTAAATGGTATTAAAAGAGACTCCAACATGAATACAAAGGCCCAAACCTGCATATTGCTTGAATTTATAATTGCAACATCCCCTTAAGTTGTCTATCTACATGTCAACCAATCACAAGGTGAGAAGATAAAAGTTCTCATGTTAGTGTACACAAAATGTCTTCAAGCAGTAAAAGCTAACAAAAGTTTATACATAGGGAGGAGCTTGCCATCGGCTGAAACATTGAAGGAAAAAACAGGCTCCTGGCAACTTGCATCAACCGTATCCACTTCCAAGAGCTAGTGTTCCATGTCATAACAGTTTCACCCTTGTCTATGTAAACTATAAAAGTTAATGATGGTTAGTGCATAGAACAGTGAAGTGGATAAGAGCATTTTTAGCAAGAAAAAGGATAGATCGCTTCTGAATACTAAAAATTCACCTGCTATTGCAGTAGTGTAAAGAACACAATTCTGATCATTAGATGGAGAGAATCTACAGCAGGCCAAAACTCATCCTGTATGAATTTAAAAATGCGTGTAGTTAATTTGGAGCCCATGTAAAAGAGAATCAACTCCAATAAACAAAAATAAAGGCCAAACAAGAGAAGGCTTGAAGATTTTCCTAAAAGAGAATCTCTCTATTCTGTAAAGATGAAGTAGACATAAGTTCATGATACTTCTTGCTGTTATTCAGATAGGAGCAACTATTAATAATATGATATGGTTCTGGCCGTTGTCTTTTAAGAAAAAACAAAATAGTGAACAACAATATGCACCACGACACATTTAGCAACAATTTCGTTAGATCTCCTTAACATGAGGCAGCTTCATTAAATTGACCAAGATTGAGCTATGCCACCAAAAGCTAAGAAAACAAATGGTTTACGTAATATATTTATATGAATCATTGCTTACATTTTCCTTTGGTAGAGAAGATACAACAGACATGGAGGTTACATCCCAAGCTCTACCAGGGCCACGATTTCCCAAGGAGACAAGAGATTTTCCATTAAGAGAACCAAGCCAAACTGTCAGTAGAACTAGATAAACAATAACAAAGCAGTGAATTCATTTTCTTTTCATCGAGCTTGCAGGTTAAGGCATCGACACTTTAATTAATTTCTTAACAGAAGTATGACCTTTAGACACATTAAGAACAATTCCCAAGCTAGGCCACTTTAAAACCCGTAATTTTCCATCCTGCACCGCACCAAAATCTAAGCATCTTATACCATGTTATTGTGTTAGAAAAAGACAACAATGTGGTCTTACTTATCATTTCACCACACCATAACTAAAGCCAAAACCATAGAATGCGTTTAGAGAATCATTAAGATCTAGGTACAAAATACTTGGGGTTTAAATTATAGGTGGGCATACATATCTGAGATCCAAGTACGAAATACTTCGGGTTTGAATTATAGGTGGGCATTCATATCTGTTTCTGGAATATAGAGTCATGAAGCATAGCTTATCCCAATAAACAATAGATTAAATCTTCCTTCTAGCTATGGTTCACCAATAGGAAAGACTAGAAAGAACAGTAGACATTTGAGGTAGACATATTACAAGGCTCTTGGGCATGTATCTACCCAATGGAGTGGAAAAGGGTGAAGCATACCAAAAAGATAAAGGGAAAAGAAAACCCTAAAGTCCATGCAGCAAATGTATCTTACAAGAAAAGGGGTAGGATCCTACCTCACTACCGATAGCAAGAACAGAACCCTTATAATATAAACTAATTTATAATTCATATTGTTTAATACAACCAAACTTCAAGAGATGGTATTGAAGTAAATTTCAAATGCTTTTGAGACCAAATTCCTTCACAAGAAGCTATATAATTTGAGAATAAATGGAACATTGAAGAGGAAAGGCTCAACAGAACATTATTTAACATGCAACGAAATGAAATCTTCTACTGGGTTCCAATAATTTGTGGTGAACCCAAATAGGGATAGTTAGATCATCTATTTGTGATCCAAAAACCATTTTCAAAAACGAAGATACAATTCATATTTTCCAAATTTGAAACACGTTTGACAGTTCAACACTGTTTTTTTTTTTGGTAAATTGAAATAGTATAAAGAATGAAAGAATGAGACCCCAAAAACAGAGTCTCTACAAGAGTTTATGCATCCTGGACATTCCTAGGAACCAAACAAAAAATAGTAGTAGCAAAAATACAAGCATTTACAATCCTGAAAACCAGTATAAAAGGATCAAGGAGATTCAGAGACTGTTATCAGTAATATTGAAAAATTAGTGACATCACCAGAATAGAGAAAGGTAATTTCTATAAATTAAGACCCAAAAAAAAAAGCAAAAAGGCAAAGTTCAATCCACAATGTCTTGAGAAAAGTAAATCAGTATATTAAGTCAACAATGTGCCTATAACCAAATACAAGACATATAAACAGGGAGAAAGAGTTCCAAACATCTAAATCATAGCTCATTAAACACAAAAGTCAACAGGATTTTCAGGATCTACAGTATCGAACACCTCAAATGTGAAAGGTCTTACTCTAATATTGTTTGTTGGTGCCCATCTAGGATTGCAAACAGAATAACAGGCTTTGAAGATCTAGTGAATGGGACATCACATCTATAGTAGCCCTTCCTCTCCAGCTGCAAAATCTCTCCATGTTTTAGATTCCGCATGTTACAATCTCCAATTGCTGGAGTCTCAATCTTTGTCCATGGGTTAGGCACATCAAGGAAGTCCTCCCCTTCTTCGAGCTGCATCCATAATGGTAACAAGCATGAATCAATATGTCAATTCATTTTTAGTACACTAGCTAAAACAAGTATATTTATGGATTATATGACGAATAATACAAATAATTAGATTAACTAATAACTTCACATTAATACAAAAATACTGCAGGATTATTGAGTTTATAAAAACAAAAATAACGCAATGAAAAGTTCTGATTATCAGTTTATTAAGTGTACCTTCTTCTTCGTGATTAAAGGGTCAAATCCCATCAATGTGAGGTTAAATAATTCATTCGTTTCAAGTTTCACATGTCAGCTTCAACTTTGTGGTCTCGACGATTCCTTCAAGGTGCAAAATACATGTTAGATGTGTGATGTTCCCACCTGGGTCCCTACTTATTTCCTTCACTATGACATTCCCAATCCATTTAGCTAATTTACTCATCTACTAAGATGGATATGGCATCAGCTTGGTCTATCCATATCCTCCTTGTGTATGTTGTTGCTTTCTCCCGAGAACCATCATATTTCTTATGGCTAGGAATCATGTGAACAAATGGTTCAACAGGACCATTGGTAAGGGTCAGAAGCACACGTCTCTCTTCAATTGGAACAATGTGTCTAGGACACACAGGATAAATAATCTTTTTATTTATAGTACAAAGTTTGTCCCATTCCATGAGATTGAGATTTTTCAAAGACCCCTGGAAAAAGGAAAAGGAAAAGGAAATTAGTATTCGTATTAAACAAACTATAATCATCTGCCAGCATAACATTAATATATAACAGAAATTTCTTTACCTGTTCAAGTATAAACTGTGTTAAAGCCTCAACCTTCAGACCCTTCGCATTATTCTGATAGAACACCAAGTACCCAATTGGATTCTGGAGGGGTATTGAGGGCATTAAGAAGGTTGTCACACAAGTGTATGTGATGAGGAAGAAAGGGAACAATTAGATCGAGTGCTGAGCTGGGGGTTGTTACCAGAATGAGCCATGTGGCACCCTCAAAGGGGAATAGTTTGTTAGGACAACTAGGCTAGGAGGAATAAATTGTGGGAACTTCTGTAATGGGATAAAGAATGATTAGTGGCGTATTACTGGGAGGTTCCTAACACCTCGAATGGCTAGAGTTATCTTTTTGCTTTAAATTTTCTTTCGTTTTGATCCTTACTGGTTGTATTGCTATTGTATTGCTTCTTATATATCAGTAAATCAATACGAAAATATAGAGAGTTCATTCACTGTTGTTTGCATTCAGTTTGATTATCTTGTTACAATTCTAGTAAAATCCTTAGGCTCCTAACAAATTGGTATCCGAGCCAGTGGGTTATGGTGAACACCAGAATGGAAGGAAGAATTGATGAACTGGAGAAGGATATGGGAAGTGTTAAGGAATATATCGATAGTATTAAGGGGTATCTCATTCATGGAGTTAAGGGAGTGGATACGATTGAAGAACGAAAAAGAAGAGAGTGGAAATTGAGGGAGGGATAAATATGATACAACTGAAAATCAGACGAACAACGAAGGTAGTAGTCAGGGGCAATCGAGGGACAGTCAGACCAGTGGGGAGGATCGGAAGATAAAGAAACTGGAGTTACCTTTATTTAACGGCGAGGATCCATATGGATGGGCATTTCGAGCCGACAAATCGGTTTGCCGAAGGGGAGAAGGTGAAAGCGGCGGCGGTGTGCATAGTGGGGCGTGCTCTTAACTGGTACCAGTGGGTGGATTCATGAACTCTGTTTCCAAAATGGGGAGCTTTCAAAACGGCCTTAATAGAGAGATTCCGGCTGTAGTATAAAGGTTTGACGTATGAGTCATTGGTGGCTTTGAAACAAAAGGGGATGGTGACTGAATTTCGTGAACAGTTCGAGATGTATACAGCGCCTTTGCGTGATGTGGGTGAAGACTGAAGAATTGCTAATGGGAACATTTGCAAACGGGTTGAAGAGGAGATTCGGGCTGATCTGCGTTTGACCCGGCCCAATACACTATTGCAGCAGTGTAAAGGGATAACAACATTTTCCCACCCAAGGTTTGACAAAATGATCTTTCCCACCCTTCAAGTTTAAAAATGACACTTTCCCACCCTTCGTTAGGTTCTATTATGTTTTTCGTTATTATTTTATTAAAAAGACGAAAGTACCCTTAAAAATTTGACTTTATAAATTTTTAATTAGCTAAAAAGTCAGAAAAGAAAAAATAGTTAGTTTCACCTAAAAAGTTAGGAATGATGCTATGAAATTGTTTAAAGTTAAATTATGTTAATATTTATTTATTTATAATGTCATTAATATCTCATCACTATTATTCAATAATTTATTAAATTTATAATGTTTTTCATAATATAATGTTTTTCATTTTTTCTAATTAATATAAAAAATCAATATTCCTAATTAATTAAATAAATAAAGAAAAAAAAGTATATTTACAATTGAACTAATAAATAATTGAGTAAAGACTTTGATTTAATTAAATTTTAATTTATAATAAACTAATTAAGAAATAAACTATTTAAGGGTATTTTCGTCTTTTTAGTCAAATATTAACAAAAAACATTAACAGAACCTGACAAAGGGTGGGAAAGTGTCATTTTAAAACTTGATGGGTGGGAAAGTGTCATTTTGTCAAACCTTGGGTGTGAAAATGTTGTTCTCCCCAGTGTAAAGAATATAATTCTGATCAGTAGATGGCGAGAATCTACAGGAGGCAAAAACCTCATCCTGGATGAATTTAAAAATGGATGTAGTTAAAATGAGTATGCTGCTTCGTTTTCCTAGATTTTTTTATATACATTATTAAATGTGAATATGGAACTGTATATACTTGTGATGAATAAATGGTCCATCGAGTTAGTGAGTGAAATATGAGTCTTAAAACTATCTTCTGACTGGAACTGAAATAATTTAAAATATATTTGTATGAGGATGAATGCTTACTTTCTTTTTTCCCTATTTGTCGACAGTATATGGAATATTTTGTACATTTCTTTTCGTATAAAAACTAATTATGGGGCCAAATCCCCGTAATGTTTTGTTCTTGTTGGAGTTGGGCCTAACTCCTCACCCAAAAGGCCTTATTGAGTGGGAGGATTGCCCCCTCTTATAAACCCATTGGCTTGAGTGTGCCTAGTCGATATGGGATCTCCAACACTCCCCCTCACGGTCAAGCCCATATGGTCCACTTGCCTATGAATGGAGGTAGTTTGGCAGCCCACCGCTGGTCAATCACTCAGCTCACATGGGGCTGGCTCTGATACCACTGTTGGAGTTGGGCCTAACTCCTCACCCAAAAGGCCTTATTGAGTGGGAGGATTGCCCCCTCTTATAAACCCATTGGCTTGAGTGTGCCTAGTCGATATGGGATCTCCAACAGTTCTGCTGCTTAGCCTTGATGTAATTAGTAGCTTTATCTTTGTAAATGTAGATACCAGCCTCTTCTTCCTACTGATCAAGTGAAACCGTGGAATGAAATTGAGGATGAAGGAGGTGAACGGACTTCTTTTGTCTATAACTCTTAAGTCTTTACTTCTTGCAAGAGTTGATTTTATATGCTCTTTTGTCGTATGATCTCAGAGGGTTCACCAAGGGCACGAGGTAGGGGGCGTGGTGGCCGAGGAAGGGGCAGGGTTAGAGGTATGACTCTCTACTTTTGGACAGTTACTCAAATCACATCATGTTATATGCTTCCAAAATGGATTTATATTTACGTTCATTACAAATTGTATATTGCAAGTTCTTTTGTAAATAGAAGCTGGAATCAATGTCACAAAAGCAAAACAGGGTTAAAGTATTGAATGTTTTGAGCTTGTTATTGTATTTGATTTCAGAAATCTGCTGCATTCACGTTTTCAAGAATTTGAGTATTGTCGTTCATTTAATCAGATAAGAAAAAGGTAGAAAAAGGAGTTTAAATCTCATGACCTTTTTCCTTTATTGAAAAGCTCTGCTGATTATTTGGAGGACATTTTACTTCTATTATGTACATATTTGAAAGCTAAATATAATAGCTGAAATGATCATGATCTGCTCATTTAATGTGTTAAGTAAATTAAAGTTCACCTAATATGAGCTGAGAAGGGTTATATGTATCAAGTAATGCATACTATGATTTAAAAAAGTTCCTTTGATTTTTAAATAATTTTTGTAAAGAAGCAATAGGTTTCATTAATCTCTTCTTGTGTTTGCACTAAATAATCAAGTATTTAGCGCTTGTATGTAGCAATAGCCACTTGCTCAGGTCGTATCTTGGCGGCCAAGAGCATTAACCTCCCTTATTTTGAGCTTTGCTTATTCACTTGCATACTGATGCTGATTCTATCAAATAAATGTCTACTTGGGATTTTGCAGGGCTTGGTCGTGGAAGGGGATGGGGATGTGGACGTGGACATGGACATGGACGTGGACGTGGGAGTGGTTGTGGAAGGGGACGGGGCCGTGGGCATGGTCGTGGTCGTAATCCCAGATCAGCAACAGTTGCATAAGCAGGGAAAAGTTGGTGAAGTATAAAGTAAGCTGTGGGGTTGAAAAATGATAAGTGGATGCCTGCTCTGCTTGTGTTTACATGAAGTTTGGTGATATTCATGGGCATTGTCTTTCATTTCAAATTGTGAAGTTTGGAAGCATAGGAACATTTTCTTAGTTATTCAATTTTGAAAAGTTTTTTACATAGCAAGTAAGAAGATTGCACAATTTTTTTCCGCTTTGTTCATAGGAATAATAGAGCAATACATTCTTTCATTCTTAATATAAATACATGTCCCATGCTAACTTCTTCTTTTTTTTTTTTTTTTATCAGTATTATTTTGGTGTTTACTTGTTGATTCTAAACTTATCTTTCTAGTTATGAGCGTTTTTCTGCCCCGTCTCTTGAATTTTGAAAGCTTAGCTTGGGGATTGTAAATTTCTCAACTGAATCTGGTTTCATGGCATTTCTCATTGTTAGGCTTGAATGCTTGGCCATTAATATTGGCAATCCCTATGGTGAAGTTGCATATTTCTAATTGTTTGTATAAAGAGTCCGTTTGGTATTGTTTCTTCAGATAGTGTTCGGAACTAGAGTGTATAGAATTAGAAATACATATAGTCAGATGGTTAATTGAGAGATTGAGTTGTATAACTATGAAACATTCGTTATTAGTTGTACATGTACACAACAAAATGAAAAAAAATATCCAATATAAAAAGTTAGAAGAAGGTTTGAAAAACAAAAGGGTGTCAATGAAACACTAGTGTTGTCTCCTGGTGTGTAACCATCTGTCCACTATCCATTTTCTTCTACAATATTATTAATGCATAATTTTATGTTAAAGGAGGATTGAATATCTTCTTTAATAGTGCTTTAGAGTGGCATTTAAGTTAAGCAAAGGATAATTAAAGTAGAAAAAGAAATTAAAAAAAAACAAAATATCATATACCTTTGCATTCGAAATCCACAAAGATAATCTGGGTTTGGACAAAAAGAATTATTTTAAACATAGAAAAAAGAAACAAAATGAGATTATTTTGTATAATATATGTGATGCATGTCTATAATGGATTCTTTACTTTCATCTTTGAGCTTGGGATAATGTAATATAATGAAAGATCTATTCTCTAATATCATCTCATTCACACTTAAATCCTCCAAACATTCACTCTATCGACACCCATTTGTTAATTCACAAATCAACCGGCTGCTCCATTTGCTTCACAAGTTTCAGGTACAGACTTATCTTCTTATTCATTAATCTTTATTATCATCTTGTATTGGATCTCTCTTTAGTTTGAACTAAAGCTCTTTTTGTTTCTAGCTAGTTACTTGGCAGTCTTTTGTGTTATGATAATTGACATAAACACTCTTTGAAACACAGAGAATAAACACTTGACCCCGCACCAACTTTAAATTAAAACTACAATGGAGATGCCTTCCTGTTGGTTTTAGTCCTGATGGAGAATTGACTGGATTTACCTTTTGAAAAGACCATATAACCCCTAAAGATTTATTAGATAAATATTTTTAATTTCAATATTTCTTCATTATGGTAAAAAAAAAAAAAAAAAAAAAAACTTTAAGAGTATTAATTTTTTTTTAAAAAAATTTCTTCTAGAACATTAAAAAATTTTCTATCAAAATATATGAAAATTTTATAAATGTTCAAGAAAATATAAGAAAATTTAAATATTAAAAAAATATGAATTGTGTTTTTAGATTAACATTGATTATTATATGAGTTAATATTTAAAAATAAGCTGAGGGGATCTTCATTGTATTTTCTAAAGTTCTTGGGGTCAAGTAGTTCCTAAGCTTTTAGGGGGTATATAGTTACCCTTATGTTCTATGATCTTATTAAGATTGCTTTGTAGTCTCATGTAATATGTATAGTCATTTAGCTTTCATTAATTCACTTTTTTTTTGCTTTCTTTCTTTAAATATGTATTGTGTCTTTAGGTTAACATTGATTATTATGTAACAAATTAGGCTTTATATTATTTTACCAAAAAAAAAAGACTTTATATAATAATATAAATTTTTGAACCCAGTTTATAAGACATTGGCAATGGTCCAATTCAATTAAAAGACTTAGAATTTGTTATCTTGGAAGTAAAAATAGAAGTTAATTACATAGATTTCACCTAAGCTTTTAACATTTCACAGGTGAATAAAAAAAATCATTATGTTAACATAAACACCCCGCCCCTTTAACTTATATTAAGGTTTTTTTCATTAAACCTCCCTAACATTAAGAATTAACAAGTTGGCCCCTGTAATTCGCCACTTACAGCCTTTACCTTCAATTTTTGGTGATAAAGTTATCTAAGGGAATGGCCAAAAAGACATTTTATGTTAAAGTACATCAAAGGTCTTTTTAAAAATTAAAACAAGTTATTAAAAACACGTATTTGTATTTCTTTTAGACTTTTTTTTTTTTTTTTTTTTAATCCATGTAATTTGATAAAAAAATATTTAATATATTTCTTTTAAAAAAATGCATAAAAAGATTGAAATATTTTATTAAAAAACATGTAATTATATTTCTTTTAGAATTTATTTGTAAACTACAAAATTTTAAAATTTGAAATATGATTTTAACTTCTGTTTGCCTTCTGATGGTTCTCTTGGCTTAAGTGAACAATATCAAATTCAAAAGCGATTGATTCCACAGCAAAAAGTTATGTGTACAAATACTTTCAGATGTTGCATTTCCGTCGGAAGTTACTGTATTTAGAGTCTTTTAGGAAAGAGAATTATATGGTAAATTATAAAAATGTTTTTGAAATAAAATAAATAAAAATGTCTTTCGTTTCAAGTTGTGAAAGTTCGTAGCTATTTTCTTGAGGCAGATTGTTTTCCCTTGGAAATTTTCATAGATAAAAAGGTTCTCAATAATGTGAATTTCAAAATTTTCATTTTACTCGATTATTTTTTCTTAAAGTTATATAGTAAAATGTCATATGAAAGAAGAAAATAATAATTAGAGATGATCTCATTATACACCACACACATCTTTTTGCATGTAAGGGTTAACTTTCACTTAAATTCTTAAATACACAAGAATTGATAAAAAGATGATTATAATTATCTATTACGAAAATGGTAAATCATTTGATATGTAAAAGTTTGTATTTTTTTTTTCTCTGAATAGAGCATCTATCTTGTTCATATCATAACTTCTGCATTCCCCATCCGTACTAGTAAACATATCGAATTTTGTTTCTTAGATAGAGAGCTAGCCATGAAGCCTCCAGTTTTAGGAATTTTATTTCGAGCGGAATTGATGAAGTTAGAGGGCTGTTTGCTGAGCTTTTTTTTTACAAATATTGCTCATCATATTTTGTTCTAAACGAAAATACATTGCGAGAACTTGGATAACGGTCCTCATTTGGTCAACATATATAGTGATACGCAGACAGTTTCCTGCTTTCGAAGCCACCTGGAGCTGTATGAAGTGATACGCACAGAGTTTCCTCAATTTCACCTTGAGGACAAGGTGAATCTTCAGGGGGGGTATTGATAGGCCAACTGTGCATAAGGTCTACACACTTAAGGGCATTAAGCATTAAGTAGTTAGTTAAAGAATATGGTCCATGTGGCTGTGTTGTGATGTGGGTGTGGAATTGTGTGAATGAGGGGTATTTGTGGGATACTTAGTATATATTGTTGAGATTAGGCAGACAGGGTTAAGCGTTCTTTTAAGTAACCAATGGAGGTCCCTTGCTCCTCGAAATGCTAGGATTATCCGGCTACTGTTCTATTTCTTTTCTTCCAAATTGTTGATTTCCGTTACTTGATTAATACACATATTGAGGTTTATTCAGAATTTTTTATTTCAGTCTTTGTTCTTGTGTTTGAACTTATTTGCAGGTAGTCCTATCAAAATTCTAACAGGATTGTAAATTTCTCCAGTGAATCTGGTTTCATGGCATTTCTCATTGTTAGACTTGAATGGTGTGGCCTTTAATATTGACAATCTCTGTGGTGAAGTTGCATATTTCTAATTGTTTGTATAAAGGGTCCGTTTGGTATTGTTTCTTCGGATAGAGTTAGAATTAGAGTTTATAGAAATCGAATTTTTGATAAGTTTTATAAAAAATGTTTTCAAAATATTTCATATGTACATAACCAGAAAACAGTGAATTTTTTATAAATTCTAATTCCATCTACTATAATCAATATACTTAATTAAAGAAACAGTATCAAACCGACCCTATAAATGAGGAATGAAAATGTGCAGCTTCAAGTGTATATAGATTTTCAAGGCCAGCCATTCCAAAATATATCACCAAACTTAATGTAAACACAAGCAGTAAGCAGGTATCCACTTATCATTTTCAACCCCACACCTTACTTTTATACTCTACCAACTTTTCCCTGATTAATTGATAATTGTTCATTAAATACGTACACTTTGATGGTTAATTGAGGAGAACGAAGTTAAAAGATAAATTTCCCTTAACGTCAATTCAACGATTCTTTTATTTATTGAATTGTATAAATAAGAAACATTGTTATTAGGTAGTGTGAGAATTTTTAAGTCAAAAAATTGAATTTACAATATCTCTACCACATATAATTAACATGTATCAACAAAAAGAAAAAATTGTCCAATATAAAAAAGTTAGAAGAAGATTTGAAAAACCAAAGGTGTCTATAACACTCTGCAGAAAAAAAAAAGAAGAATTGGATGTAACGTAGCAAATTGCAACACCACCCTTCACCTTCAGTCAAAAAGAAGGATTCTAAAGGAGGATTGAATATCTTCTTTAAGCTTTAGAATGGTTTAAATTACGCAAAGGATAACTAAAGGAGAAAAAGAAATTAAAAAGAAACCAAAAATCATGTACCTTTCATTCGAAATCCACAAACTAATCTGGATTTGGATAAAAAGAACTATTCTAAATATGGAAAGAAGAGACAAATAGAGATTAATCTATATAATATATGTAATGCATGTCTATTTAATTGTGCTTAGGTTCTTTACTTCATCTTTGAGCTTGGGATATA